TTTTTCTTTCATTCAATTATAAATTGGCCAATAGATCTCAATTTGCAGGGCAATTTAGTTTTTTGATACTATTTTATCAAACAAAGCATCTTTAACCGGACAATTTTCTTGAATGTCCCAGAAATTTTCTTGAATATTACTAGTTTTCTTGGATGCATTATTCATAGTACCTTTTGATTTCTACATGCAAACTATTGTGAGTTACTAATGAAGATGAACCGTGCTATTATTGATTGACTGACTTTATACTTTGAGAGGCTGATTGACAATTCGATACTCATCCTGAAGCCTTCATATGCACTTCAAATAGAATTGACGGTTTGCTAATTGCTGTATTCTTCCGGTGTTAAAGAGTTTACAACATTGGTCAAAAAAAAAAAGAGGAGTTTACAACATTAATATTTATGAAATTTTGGCATTGTAATTGGTAGACCCAAGTTTTTAGTTTGGGCAAATTACATTTTAGCCCCTTGTGGTTTTCGCAAAAACCACATAACCCCCCCATCGTTCAAAAAGCTATACATAAACCCCCTGTGGTTTGGGTTGAACTGGCAAATAGACGGAAAGCACCCACCGTAACGATTCGTGGGCAAAATGTCCAAATTACCCTAATATAAATACAAAAAGGAAGCAGATGAGTCAGATTCTTCCTTGTTCTGTCTTTGTCGTGAGAAAAGGAGAGAAAAACATGACCACCGAATGAAGGAGAGAAATTTAACCCACAAAGATCTACCATTGAAGACCAAAAAGTAGCTGTGAAAGAGCATCACGAAAGCTGTTGTTGCATCTGGTAAGTTTTTTGACATCATTTTAGCATATAAGATGCACTTGCATGGTTTTTGAACAGAAACTAGCGGGCATTGGAAAGTTAATAAATCAATGATTATTTTGCTTAAGCGTTGATTAATTTAAAATTTTGCTGCTTTGGGACAATCTGTATTATCATATTTAAGCATAGAGTATTTTATCGACTAGAATTGAATTTATGCATTAAGATTAGGGTAAAGAAAATTGCATTCGGGAGTTCTAAAATCACCGGAATTTCAACTAAACATGGGTAGAATACGACTTTGTTAGTTTGAGATTTGTTGATTAGTGTCAGATTTGGGTCAAATGTGGGTGGCTTGATTTTCAATAATATAGAGTGATTTGGCTGCTGATAAAGTTTTGACAATTTGGACATTGAATAATTTTTGCTTGTCGGCTTATTGGCCGTCATGTGGTCCATGGAAGTATGCGATATGCAATATGTCCTTTTCTTAATCAGATTGTATTTTTTTGTAATCATGTGTTTTCATTGAAGTGTGTAATCTATTAAATGTCCTTTTCTTAATCAGATTGTGTTTTTTTTTCTTATCATGTGTTTCACTATTTCTAATGCAGGCTTTGAAAAAAATGACAACTTCAAAAAGAATAACTATAAAATTGCATTTCGGTGGTATATTCATATGGGAACCAGAAACTGTCTATACTGGTAACGAGGTAGCCATATTTAAAAATTGTGAGACAAGAAAATTGTCCAGGGATATGTTGTGTAAATTGTATAGTAGGTATGGTGATGCCTCGAATGTGAACCTATATTTTGAAATACCAAATTGTGGGTTGTATGTTGGAGCAGCTGAAATTAAAGGAGATAAAGAAATAGAGTTAATGTTAACTGCACATGAAGGAGTAGATGTTATCAACATATATGCTGAATTGCGTGATGAAATGCCTAGTGAAATTGCTTCAGTTGGAGTAAAAAGTCATGGTAAAAGTGCCCCCACTGATGCCCCACATAGTGGAGCACAAAATGTGGCATCTGATAAAGATACCCCAAAAAAGTTAGCAAACAAAAAGGGGAAACAGATAGTCAAGAAGTCAGTGAGAAGACAGACCAAGCTAACTGGAAACAAAAAGCACAGCAAATCAGAGTCTAATTCAGCAAAGGAAAAAGGTGAAAAAGCTGTAGAAAAGCAAGATGAAGTTGAAAAACAGCCTGAAAATGAAGATGAGTACGGTGATGCTACATCTGATAGTTTAGAAGAGCCTGAGTGGTTGAAAGAGGGATTAGAAGGACCAGAAGATGAGGATATTTTTGCAAACAGAGCAAAGGCTTGTGAAACTTCTGTGTCATATGTACTTAATTTGTTACCTTATGTGTTACCATTAAAATAGGTGCCTGCTGGAGCTAGTGATGCTGGAAATGCAGGTGAAGATGTTGTAAATGCTGGAAATACAAGTATTGGATCTGTCTCACAACAGGGTTCAGTGTCACAGGTACTATTAATGATGATGGTTATTACTGCAATTACTGCATTTAACTGACTTAAACCTATCTATTTATGCAGCCTTGTGAAACTTCTGCTGCTAAACCAGTTTTTGAAACTAGAAGACCAACTGATGAACCTGTTGAACCTGTTTTGGACACTAGAAGACCAACTGATGAATCTGTTGAACCTGTTTTGGATACTACAAGAACTGCTTCTGCTGTTGAACCCATTTTGGATACTAGAAGATCAACTAGAGTCAGAAAACTTGTACCAACAGTTGCAAGTGTGTTGGAAAATTTGAGGGCTAAGAAAGCTAAACGTGTTTCTAGAATGTGAGGACTAAGAGGGCTAAACGTGTTTGTAATTCAATTAAGTTATTTGTCTGCAAATGCTTTTTTTTAATATGTTGTTGCTACACTTTCTGTTGAATCTTGGTGTCTACTGTTAATATGTTGTTGCTACACTTTTTGTTGAATCTTGGTGTCTGCTGGACTTAATGATTAGCTACTTATGTACCTTATTTTGTTTTGTAAAAATTGGTTATGAACTTCTGGATAGCTATATTGTCAAATGAATCCAAAGTTCAGTGGTGTGAGCCCATGTTAAGTAAGTCATACGAATTTGGTTCAATGCTTGGTTCAATGCTTCAGAATTTGGTTCCATGCTTGAGGCATCTTGGAAATTGGCTTTTGATGTGTGCTTTTTTGCTTTAGAACTTAGTCTGAACCTTTACTGCTCCTTATTTGTCTATACTTGAACTCTTGCCGCATAGCTATAATGGTAGTTAAATTAAGGGATAATTTCAGAGCAATGTGGTACATGTTTACAAGCAAGCAGGTTAAAATCCCGCCTGCATAATAACACTGAAACCCGCAAGCGGGATTCTGTGTTTTTTCTATTTCAAGGTTAGCTCGCATGCGGGTTAATGTTATATTTGAGCGCGAGAAGAAAAAATTGGTAATTAGGCTCTTTGGGCATTATAAGTAAATATTTAAATTAATGGCAGTTTTATTACACCAATATTATTGTATTATCATTATTATGATTATTGTATTATTTCTTATGCAAATATAACATTTAATTATTTAAATTTGATTTTATTTTTACAATTTATAAAATTTTTATCACTTATATAATATTTTTAAAACCCTAATACATCTAAATTTGATTTTATTTTTCAAATTTATAAGATTTTTATTTAAAAAAATGGGATACGGATAAGATATCCGGTTGGTTCGATTTGCATAGGTGCATATGAGAATATCCGAATACTCTTTAAACCCGCATGCAGGTTTAAGGAGATTATGGCAACTCTCTGACACACTAGTTACCCGTCCAACTCTCAGGGGAGGTTTCTGAAATTATCCCTTAAATTAATTGAGATACTTTCTTTTGCTTTAAACCATTGCAAATGTCCACTTTGGATAGCTCATGTATGTGCTTTTTGGCTATGCTGTCTCGATGAGTACCAAGTTCAGCCTGTGAGTACCAAAGCAGGTTCATACCAACTGGAAATCATGTTTGCCTATTATATCAATTGACTACCAAAGCAGATTCATTCATTCATTCATTGAACACAACAGGTTCAGATTTACAACACTTTTAGAGCCACAATTCATCTGAATTATTTTCACTTAAACATCAAAATGAGAAATGATAGCACAGATATAGCAAAACAAGCACCCACGCAAATCTTCATGGCTCCTAAGCTTTCTTCAATGTTTTTCATTTTCCTCAAATATAAACCACCATCCATGCGCAAGCCTTTCACTTCTGAACTATCAATACTTGACTCTCCACTAAATATGTCTCTCCTTGTAACATTCAAATCACTAGTGTAATTTTGTCTTATTCTCCTTGTTGGATTGCACCATGAGAAAAATTCACAACTTCTTGTCGCACAAACAAAATATAGCTTTCCTTTTGAAGGTTTGTCAGATTCAACAATTTTTACCGCTGCTTTTCTCCCACATGAACAAAATAGGTATTGGTACCTTAGATCTTCAGTACTTCCACCAGCACTGCTTGAGCATGACATCTATAGTTTATTGAAAAAAAATTAATAATCCATTCAAGTCATATTTCAGGAAAAGGAAAAGACTGCACCTTGATGTTAGAACTCACCTTCAGATTTCCTTCGTTCTCTATCTTGGGTTCCTTCACCAACATTCAGTGCAAAGTCAGCTACAAAGTATTTCGGAAGATGGAAAGAGATGAGGAGCACCCATCTAGGCTTTATTGGGTACGTCAAATTGGTCAGGGGTAATATGGGTATGTTTCCTACTGCTACCAGAAGAACAGGCGCGTTTTGCCCACGAATCGTTACGGTGGATGCTTTCCGTCTATTTGCCAGTTCAACCCAAACCACAGGTGGTTTATGTATAGCTTTTTGAACGATGGGGGGGTTATGTGGTTTTTTCGAAAACCACAGGGGGCTAAAATGTAATTTGCCCTTTTAGTTTTTACAGATCGATGAACCCTCAAGGATGAAAGAACCCCACATTGACGGACCTTCAATCTTGATCCTATATGCGTGTGAAATGGTGATAGAAATTGAGGCAAAGAGGCAGAGTTGACTCCTGAGTCTTTAGACCTATTGTTCCGTGTATATAATAACATGCAATGTACGCTCTCCCTACCAGGGCTATACTGTCTATTGCAATGGCATACCTATGCATACAACTCATTTTTTTCTTCGCATTTCTCTTCCCAATTTCTGTTTTCTCTCAAAAAAATGGTATTGTAACTATGGGAAGTACTCTGACTGCAGGGGAAACATCTGCTAGTCCTTGGCTCTCACCTTCTGACGAATTTGCATTCGGGTTCCAGAAAGTTCAGGATAAGGATCTGTTCTTGTTCTCGATATGGTATGATAAGATACCAGACAAAACTGCAGTTCGGTTTGTTTATTCAACGAATCCAGTGCCACGAGGATCGACTGTAAAGCTTGATCCTCAGACAGGGCTTGTGCTCCGTGACCCTCGAGGCTTGCAACTTTGGAGTGCTAATCCTAGTCAAGTTGATCATGGTTTTATGAATGATACAGGCAATTTCATCCTCAAGGGGAGTGACGATAGCTGGCTCTGGGAAAGCTTTAGATTTCCCGCTGATACAATATTGCCATATCAAGATTTGGTAACTGGCGATTCTCTCTGTTCTCGACAGTCAGCAACAAACTTCTCCCAAGGAAGGTTTTATCTCCGTTTTCGTGATCACGGGAATCTAGTGCTTGTTACCAGGAGTGTGCCAACGAACGTGGATGATGAAGCTACCTACTACAATAGTCTGACTTCTGATTCTACAGATGCATTCAATTCTGGTTACCAAGTTACTTTTGATGGCGGAGGAGCGATGTACAAAGGAAAAGGAACAATCAAACAAAACAGCTCAATCCAGTTTCAATTCCATTACCACCAGTATCAGAAAACTATCATAGGGCAACAATAGATTTTGATGGGGTCTTCACACATTATTATCATCCCAGGACTTCTACTGGCAACCAAAACTGAACAATTCTTTGGTCTAAGCCAGATAATATATGTGTCAGAATTGCTGGAGAAAAGGGGAGTGAAGCTTGTGGATTTAACAGCGTTTGCCACCTCGAACATGGAAGACCAGTTTGTGCGTGTCTAATAGGGTATATATTGCTTGATCCAGATGACAGTTACGGCAGCTGCAAGCCAAAACTTCTCTTGGCTGTGGTGAAGTAGAGGAGGGCTCTGCCGAAAACCTGTATGATTTTGAGGTTGTCAATGACATAGATTGGCCACTTTCTGAGTTTGAAAGAATAAATCCTTCAAATGAAACAGTGTGTCAACAAGCTTGCTTGCAGGATTGTTTCTGTGCTGTGGCCATTTTCAAAGACAACAGCTGTTGGAAGAAGAAGCTGCCACTTTCTAATGGGAGGTTGGACAGTCGTGTTCTGTCGAAAGCTTTCATCAAACCTCGCAAAAGTGATGGTAATGCTCCTCCAGTATATCCAAATCCTCCAGCATCAATTGTTCCTCAAGGTTTTCAAGTAGAATCAAAGCCAAAGGACCGAGGCACCTTGATACTTGTGGGATCTATCCTTCTTGGCACCTCTTTCTTGGTAAACTTGACATTCATTACCATTTCTTGTCTGGGTGTTTACCTCATATACCAGAAAAAGAAGATCATACCTTGCATATTTTTCCATACAAAGAGCTTGTTGAAGCTACCAACGAATTCAAAGATGAGTTGGGTAGGGGATCATTTGGCATTGTGTATAGAGGTGAGTTACAAATCAGTTCCAAAAGCAGTATTGTTGCTGTCAAGAAGTTAGACAGAGTGGCTAAAGATGCTGAGAAGGAATTTCGAGCTGAAGTGAAAGCAATTGGTCAGACTAACCACAAGAATTTGGTCCGTCTGCTTGGATTCTGTGATGAAGGACAACAATCTCTATTGGTGTATGAGTATATGAGCCATGGAACTCTTGCAAGATTGCTGTTACATGATCCAAAACCTAGTTGGAATCTAAGGATCCAAATTGCTATCGGGATTGCAAGAGGACTTGTGTACCTTCATGAAGAGTGCAGAACTCAGGTTATCCATTGTGACATAAAGCCGCAAAATATACTTCTGGATGAACATTTCAATGCTCGGACTTCCGACTTTGGACTGGCAAAACTTTTGATGATCAATCAGAGTCGACCAATGACTAGTATCCGAGGAACAAAAGGATATGTTGCTCCTGAATGGTACAGGAACACCCAAATCACTGCAAAGGTTGATGTTTATAGTTTTGGTGTCTTGTTACTAGAGATCATTTCTTGCCGCAAATGTGTGGAGGACATTGAAAACATTGGTGAAGGAGAAAACCCAATTTTATCTGATTGGGCTTGGGATTGCTTTCAAGAAGGAAGATTTGATAAGTTTGTTGAAAATGATTCAGAGGCTCTAGAAGATAAAATGATGCTAGAGAGATTTCTGATGGTTGCTTTACGGTGCATCCAAGAAAGCTCATCTCTTAGGCCTAAAATGAGGAAGGTAAGCCTGATGCTTGAAGGAATTGTGGAAGTTATGGTGCTCCCGTGTCCCTATCCTTTTTCTACCAAGAGCTGAGATTTGTTCTTTACTGCTTTGGGCCAATTACTTTGATGTCTGGGAGAGTTTTATGCTGTTTTCCCCGTTTTTTCTTTGTATTTTGCATTTTCTGCTTTTTTCCAATGTATTAATAAGATTCTCTTTGTAGGCAGACATTCTGTTGTGACGGTGGTACTGTAGTGCTTATCCTGTACACAGAATGGTCAGCTTTCCTGACTTGTTTATCTAACCTAATATTACTTGCAAAGTAATAATACTAGTATTGTGGAAAAGTGTGAATTTAACGTGAACGGGCCTAATTATTATTGACTCTCTAGGGTCTTAAGAGTGTGAGCACATATGTTACCGTCTGTTGTCTATGATTTAAATACCGCATCAACTACAATAAATATTTGATAAATTAATAGTCTCTATTAAATAATAATTTTTTTAGTCCCGATTTGGACTAATGAGAAAAATTAATAATTTTGATAAAATAATAAAGTAATTAATTTTTTTTAAAACCTTACCTAACCTTTTGGTCCATTCATATCATAAATTAATAATTTACTAAAATTACATATCATATCTTCCTAAAATATGAATATATTGTTGTTATTTTTTAAAATTTAAATCTACTTGAATCTCATAGTTAATTTTTCTTATTGCATTTAAAAGTTCTAGACTTGAATTCTTATATTGCAAAACAAATTATGAAGAGTTATTGATACTTTGAGCATTTCCTTCCACGTAATAGGCTGTAAAGCTAATATATCTGTAGACAATGAAATTTTAATTAATTTTAAAAATTACCATTAGTCTATAAATTATTTCCATGATTTATTTTTATTCAATTAGATATTGCCATATGTCATACACACTTGAAAATTTGACTATTCGGCAACTAATCATGTTAGGGGTGTGCATTCGGTGCAAAATCGGTAATTCGGTGCACTGAATTCGGTGAATTCGGTTATTCTACCTATAGAAATTTAAACCGTTTTCAATTCCGAATTAGCCATAACCGAATTCATACCGCAACCGATTTCAAATTCGAAAATGGTAATGAATTCGGTTAAACCAAATTCATCTATTAAAAAAAAAGTAATAATTTATCTATTAATTTAAACTAGAATAAACCTTAGATTATACAATGATTGGTGATAATTTATGAATTTATAATTTACAATGATTAATAATAAGTAATATTAGTTAGTAGTTACAATGAATTTATAATTTACAGTGATTAATAATAAATAATATTAGTTACAAACTTACAAATTACAATGATTAGTGATAAGTTATATTAATTACAAACTTATAATTTATTTCAAATCAAAATAAAAACTTATTTATTTACACATGTTATTGTGAAAGTCAATACACTAATACATTGATTTGCAATTCACATGCATTCACTTACACTGCTTAGTTGTCGTGTCTATACTTAAAACCTTAAATTAGTAAATAGATAATATGAATTTTAACTTATTTGATAACTTATACCTAGAATCCTTAGTCTATGATTTAAGGAACACAATGATTAGTGATAATTTATGAATTCATAATTTACAATGATTAATAATAAGTAATATTAGTTACAAACTTACAAATTACAATGATTAGTGATAAGTTATATTAGTTACAAACTTATAATTTATTTCAAATCAAAATAAAACTTATTTACTTACATATGTTATTGTGAAAGTCAATACACTAATACATTGATTTGCAATTCATATGCATTCACTTACACTGCTAACTGCTTAGTTGTCTTATCTATACTTAAAGGCTAAAGCCTTAAGAATTAAGATTAGTGAATAGATAATATGAATTTTTATGTTAAATATGTAGAGTACACTAATACTTGCAAGTTACAGATTACGCATTCAAATATTCAATAATTCAAACATGAATGATATATCAAATTACCAATATCTAAATTCTAATTATGAATTATGTTTATTGTTTAATATTTAGTATTATACATATATGTATTAATTATTATCTAATTCTAGTCATGTTACTCATGTATAAAATAATAAGTATTATAGTTATCTTATATTGTTATGTATTACTATATATTTGTATTATTATAGTCATATAACAATTAACAAATACTAAAAGAATATATTGTACATTATTATATATTATTATTATTATTATTATAAGTACATGATATGATGATAATACCATATACTAATTATTATTAATAGCATTTACCTATATAATATAATAAAGTATTAGTGGTATATACTAATACTAAATAGCATTTATCTATATATTATATAATTTTATATATCAATTTGGTAATTCGAATTCGGTAATGCGGTACCCGATTTCAATTACCGAATTTGAATGCGAAATTGGTTATTAGCAAATTCATAATCTCATTACCTATTTCATACCATATTAGAATTCGGTGAATTTGGCATGTACCGAATTTGTACCAAATTACCAAATACCGGATTTCAAATTACCGAATTGAATTTGAAATCGGTTATGAATTCGGTAAGAACCGAATTTGCTCACCCCTAAATCATGTCTCTCCATATGTCAAATTGAGGTGTTCCGACCAATTAACTATATTGAGGGTTCTGTGCCAATCAAATTATGTCATATCACATGTTCATATGATTTGACAAAAGTATGGATACATATCTAAATGATTATTTTTTATTAAAAAAATAATATTTAGAGTTATTTAATCCATATATTTGTCTTATATATTGCAACGATTTATCCAATTACATTGTGCCACGTCATGTATCCCTACAAGTCTGGCCAATCAAGGAAATATTTATTAATGTTATTTCTTTATTAATAAATATAAAATGAAGAAATAATATTTAAAATGGTACAGTGCTAATATGATTACATGTCTTGTAAGACAAGTAAAGTGGCATACATGTCTTTAGATTTTACCCTATTCTACAACTATAAATAGGGGGTCTCTCCACCAAAGTTCACACATCACATATCTCATACTTCCATATTTTCTTGAAGCTCCATGGCTGTGAAGGTTCTGTATCTTCAAGTTCTTCAAGTCTTGCTCATATCAAGACTTGAATTTTCAAGTGTTCAAGTTCATCGAACTTTTTAAATATTCTATATCAAGATTTGAAGGAATCGACAATCGATCCAAGAACAAACCGCGAAGCCCTTGGATTAACGTTTAAGGAAAAGAGACAAAGGAAACTCTCTACAAATTAGAGAAAAATTCAGAGATTGTATGTGAGGACCCGAAAATTTTCTTATTTTATTTTATTTTACTGGCTTAATTAATTAATTAATTCGACTATTTAAAATTCATTTATATGGAAAAACGCCTCTCTTATGTTTTTAAAGCGTTTTGTTAGAAAATTACTTTTCGAAAACTCATTTAGTTCGGAACAACGAGTACACGGTTTTTGAGACTATATTTGAATTGAGAGTGTATTAATTTTGGAAAAGTAAAAATGATCAATAGTAAATTAAGAAAAAGTCATGAGGACTCGCAAAAATTTATTTATTTTTAAACTCTTGTTACGAGTTTATTAAAATATTTAATTGCTTGTTTGCCCCGAATATTATTTTCTAGTCTCTTGAGACCTGATTACATTGATCTATGACTTACTTATATTTTTAGAGTGGCTCGTTTCAAAAATTAATTTCTCGAAACCCGTTAAGTGAAAATAATGAATACGCAATTGGAGTAAATAATTGATTCGAGCATATAATAAGTTTGGAAAATTGGAGACTTGTACATTAGTTTCAAACTAGGTATTTTTATGTTTAAGTGCTCAAATATTAGTTAGTAATACAATCGTTATACGAATTTCTTGAAAGTTAAGCGTTATCGCGCAAAATTGGAAGTACGCGTTTTTACGCGCGCGATCAATTAAGGGACTTAAGACCTTTATTTTTTGACCATTAAGAGTGAATAATAATAGTATGAATATAAGTGTATTAGAGGTTTAGTGCACAAGTGAAACAAACCCGAGAGGGAACGAGCACGAAACGCGCGCGTACGCGCAGCATTTTGGACCACACATTCTTAAGCTTCTCAAGGGAGTATCACACCGGATCAAAACCCTTCTCTTCTCACCTCAAGTTCCGGCCAAACACTCTCTTTTCCCTCCCAAAACAGCCGACCAAACAGCAACGGAAAGAAAGGAAGAAAAGCTTCTTCATTCTTGCACCAATCTTCCTCCATTTCATCTCAAAATTTGCATCCAACTCACAAACCACTTGGAGATTCACTTAGGCAAGGAGAAGAGCTTCATTTCCACGGTTTTCTTGGACTTGATTTGGACCAAAATTTCTGTCCTAGTTCATCTAAGAAGGTAAACTACGATCAACTCTTAAAACCTTGCTTTATGGAAGTAGTATTGCACATTTAAGGTCATGCATGCATATGGGTAGCTTGTTTATGTTGGAAAAATTGTTGTGTGGGCTTTATGAACTCCCACTTTGATTGGATGGACTGATTTGGTGGATGATGATGAAATTAATGTTGGGTTAGTGCTTATATTAGTGGAATAATGTTGGGTTATTGGTAGAAACTCAAGGAAGATGCAATGAACAAAAGTGACCATTTTACCCCTGCCATGTTCGTGCACTTTGGTGCAGATTTTTGAGGATCTAATGGCTTGTTTATGATATATATATGTTATATGGATGGTGTAGAAAGTTTCATTGAAAAATAACATGATTTGGTTGGTCAAATGTGTTGATTTCCAAAGTTTGGCAGAACTGGAAAATTTTCCCGGATTGCCCAGGCAGTCATCTTGTTTCGGTTATAACTTCTTACTCCGATGTCGGAATCAAGTTTCGTTTGCAGCACTGGAAACTAGACATCCCCATCTTTCTATTGGTATAAAATGCACGTCCTGGTTCCACTTGAGTGAGCCAAACCATTCATTTAAAAATTGCTGTCCTGTTTCGTTGGTTCACTACAGGGCAGAACATGAACTACAACTTGATGCTCAAATGCGGGCTAGTTATGAACGGATTTTGAAAATGGTTTCTTCTAAGAAATTGTAGCTTTATGAATGTGT